AAGGCGGAATGAATAGAGATTCATAAACGAATTACTAAACTTGAAATGGAATCATTGTTGTTAAATCAATTTGAGTTTCGACAAAATCATACCCAAAGATTTAATTGAGAAATTGGATGTCGAAAGGATTTTGCATGTATGAACTTGTAACCGAAATAGGTTTACTCGCTATTCACTTAATACTAGATTCATGCTACTTGGTAGATGTTCCCATGATATGTGGGTTCTTGAATTAAAGAGTTAATTCAAGAATAAGAGTTAATATGAATAACTCAAATTACAAAGAGCTGTAAACCCACTACTAGTATTAATTGTGAACCTAAAAGGTCACACCAATTTTTGAATGAAGGTAAAATTCAAATAGTATTTCTAAAGAGTTAGAATTAATTGACAAATCTAATTTGATTAGATATCAATTAAAAGAATATATTAAATTAATCAATTAGATTGATTAATTAAATTTTAGATATTAATTTAGTAATTAGTAGAATTACTAATTAATAGTTACAATTTAAAATTGGATTTTAAATTTCAAATCCAAATAATAATAAGATTATTAAATAAGGAAATGGAAGAATAGATTAAAATAATAAAGTCTTGAAAATTGTTTTCAAGAATTATTATTTTAGTATTTATCTTTAATTTGATTGAAGATTAAATAATAATAAGAATAAATTAATTATGGTGGTTAGGAGTTGTTAACTAATCCACATAATTAATCTTATTTTTATTAATACAATAATAATGATTGATGGTGGTTATAAACCAATCACATTATTAATTAAAAGTCAATATTTGGTATGATTATTTAAATAAATCTGATTTCATTTAAAATAAAATATATCAAATATTGATTATTTTATGCTAAAATGTTTAGTATAATTAGGTGCAAAATGTTTGCACATTAATTGTTAAGTTTTTGAGCTAAATTCTTTGAAGAAAAAAATTCATTCAAAGAGTTGAGTGATAATACAAGAAAGTGTTCTTGAAAAATTTCCTTATAAATATATATTCCATACTTATTGAATAAAACCGAGTAGTTTCTACTAGCGAAGGAACTATTGTCGGAACTGGACTTCAAAAGGTGGATACGATTAGAGGGAAGACATTTGGATTCCTAAAGTAAGTAACCACAAGAAGTGATCGTTACCAAATCGGGAATTGATTTCCTCATACATCGTCGGTTTTGAAGGAGTTCAAGAACAAAGGTAATTTTAATAAATTACATATCAAATCAAAATTAGTAAAAGTTACTAGATTTTAAATGATGCTTATTCGTCATATCGTTATACTTATGTACGGAATAAGTATTTATAAGATAAATACTTATAAAATTTTAAATTCTGCTGTAAACTCTGTTCCGTACAGTATATCGAACCCAACAGCATATCCTCCCTCCGCTTCTCCATCATCTCCAAGATCTCCTGCTGTGGAGCATTAAGTGGTTTGTAGTGCTCATACCTTGGCCCCCTGAACCGGTCCTCAACCCGAGACTCCTTAGGGACAGCTCGCCGATCACCCTGTCGAGGCCTCTCCTCTGGCTGCTTAGCCTTTATTTTATCATTCCGGATAAAATCCGCCTCCGATTTCTTCATGTTCACATACTTGCTACACCTTTCAAGCAGCTCGTCAAAGGACCTCGCTGGCCTCTTCGCCAATGAATCTCTGCACTTCCCCGACCTCAATCCTCGAGTAAGGCCTCCAGCTTTGACTTCTTCCGAGGCAGAAGGGACCTCCACGCACTCCTTAGTGTACCGCGCCACGTATTGTCGCAAGGTCTCCCCTTCCTTCTGCTGCATATTAATCAGCGAGAGGTATGTCTTCTCATGCTTCTTGGCACTCACAAATTGATTCAGAAACAGAGAGCTGAACTTCTCAAAGCAATCGATAGATCCTGCTGGCAGCTGATGGAACAAATCCTGCGCCGACCCCTTTAATGTCGTCAAAAAGGCTCGGCAAGACACAACATCACTATACCTGTGCAGCACAACTATGTTAAATTATATAATATAATATATGTTCTATACCCTAAACCCTAAACCCTAACCCTAACCCTAAACCCTATAATATAACATATGTTATATTATATTATATAATATATGTTATAAATATGTTATAATATAACATATGTTATAATATAACATATGTTTATAACATATGTTATATTATAATAATATAACATATGTTATTATAATATAATATGTTATAATATAATATATTATAATATAACATATGTTATACTATAACATATAGTATAACAAATAGTACTATATGATATAATATAATATGTTATAATATAATATATTATAATATAACATATGTTATACTATAACATATGTTATTATAATATAACATATACTATATGTTATATTATAATAACATATGTTATATTATAATAATATATGTTATGTTATAATATATTATAACATATGTTATATTATAATAATATATATTATAAACATATATTATATAATATAATATAACATATGTTATATCATAGGGTTTAGGGTTAGGGTTTAGGGTTTAAGGTTTAGGGTTTAGAACATATATTATATTATATAATATAACATATTATATTATATTCTATTATAACATATAGTAATATATTAGAGCATATATTATATTATTTGTGTTATGATATAATATAACATATGTTATATTATATCATAACATCTATGTTATAATATATGTTATAATATAACATCTATGTTATATTATATCATAACAGATGTTATGTTATAACATATATGTTATAATATAGCATATATGTTATATTATAGTATATAGTAATGTTATATAATATATGTTATAATAGAACATATTTTATATTATATATTAAAAAAACATAACATAGTATATATAGTCAATTGGACTAATATATTATATATTATCTACAACATATGTTATATTATAAAATAATAATGTTATAATATAACATATGTTAAAAATTAAGAAGACTATATAAATTACAAATTATTCTATAATATGCATAGTATATGTATATGTATATTATTTGTACAAAAATAAACGGAAAGTTTCTGCCGGCACAACGGTACGAGATGCACCCAAAGAAACCGAACTCACCCACTGACCCGGGTTCGAGTCCGCAATCTGGGATCCTCGTATCATATTTTTTTTAGAAACCGTATTCCTAGAAT